CAGAGTCTGTACAAAAGTTTTACACCAGGGGTGTCAAACATATGGCCCACAGGCTGGTTCCGGCCCCTGCAGGGCTCCTATCTGGCCCGCAAGCAACTGGCATTCTGCTGCTTCCTGTTGCCTGCATCACAGTACCTTTTGGGAGGGAGAGGGTAAGAGCCAGAGAGAGAGAAATAGAGTCCCGTGCCATTTTTAAGACCAACAACATTTTATTCCAGGTTGAAGCTTTTGTGTGCCCGTCTGTGTATACTTCTTCAGAGGGAGGGAGGAGAGGAAGGAGCCAGAGAGAGAGAAAGATGGTCCCATGGTATTTGGAGAGATGCCCCTTTCCAGTTTTAACAGATGGGGGGGAGAAACCTAACAGCACAGCTTGCATTAGTGGAAGGAAGCAAGAGTCCAGTAGCTAACAAAATTTGTGGCAGGGTATGTGCTTTCATAAGTCACTGCTCACTTCTTCAGATACAGCTAGAATGTGAGTCCACCTGTCCTTATATCTTGGAAAGTCAAGTGATTTCAGACGCCAAATGACAATAACAGGCATTGGTAATGAGAGAAGAAACCTAGGTCTCCATTCAGTCCAGGATGATGCATTGTTTTGAGCTTCAAGTTGCAATTCAGCAGTCTCTCTTTCTAATCTCCCTTTGAAATTCCTTTGTAAGAAAACTGCTACTCTTAGGTCACCAACTGAATGGCCTGGAAGGTTAAAATGTCCCCCCACTGGTTTTTTAATGTTGTGGTTTCTAATAACAGTGAAAAAGAGTAAGAGTCCAGTGGCACCTTAAAGACTAACAAAATTTGTGGTAGGGTATGTGCTTTCATTAGTGACTGCTCACTTCTTCAGATTTCTTTCCATTTATTCTTTGCATCCCTCTGGACTGAATCCTCCTGTACCAAATTGAGATTTAGGTTTCCTGTCTCGTTACCAATGCTGACATCTCCACACCTTCCATACCACACCAAATCCAATTATGCCTGCTATTGCCATTCGGCATCTGAAATCATCTTTATAAAGTTTACATCTCTGGTACCTAGTGTTATATTTTATGGCACACATGGCTTGTCCTGACAAAGTGACATTTAAGTCAAGTCTGGCCCTTGTAACAAAAAATTAGTCCGACACCTCTAGTTTACACTGTCCAACAGGTGTCCTGTTCAATATCATTCATTCTAATAGGGAATAAAATTTGGGGGTTTTTTAGATTAATCTTATACAGCTAATTTTTATTAAATAACTTCTCCTTCCATTCCTTTTTCCAGAGGCTAATTCAAGATATTTTAGTGCCGCCCTGAACTGGATAGCCCAGGCAAGCCTGATCTCGTAAGATCTCAGAAGCTAAGCAGGGTCGACTCTGGCAAGTACTTGGATGGGAGACCTCTTTGGAATACTAGCAGTTGGGAGGCGGGGGCAGGCTTTATTTCAGCCACCCCTCTGAACATCCTCCAGGCCCCCCTGTAGGGTCAATCACCAAAGGTTGCCATGACTTCCAGGTGCGCGCGCACACACACACACACACACACACACATACACGGGAGGGAAAACCCCCAAAAAGATATTTTAGTGATAGAGGCAGAAAATCCCTTTATTTTTTGGTTAAAATAATATAATTAAATATCTGGCATTTTGGTGCCTTGCCATAGTGTGTACTCTTCCCCGCCTTGCTATAAGGCCAGGTCTACCCTGGCCAAGTCTTCCCCTGCCCTAAAGCAATTCAATTTGACTCAACTTCCAAAGGCAATAACATTTCTTTTCAAAATGTATTTATACTGAAATAATTTTATGATAGCTACATTGGAAATACTGTGCTTGAGAGGTGAGAGAGCGGGACAATGCTCTGTGTCTGATTTAGTATGGGCGATAAACTGTACAACCCATTCAGGCTTAGCGTACTCAGCTCTCTACTCGCCAGCTGAAATTTTGGGATAGGAATACCTACATGGAGTAGGTATGAGTTGCAGCAGGCCAAACCTGTTCCTTCTCTCGATGACAGCACATGCAGAATTATAAGTATAAGCAAGCATTTAACTGTGTTTTTGGCTATAGGGACAAGTGTTGTTGGTTCTTTTGCAGGTAATAAAATGAAAAATCCAATTTGCAATTGCAGAATAAACCTCTGGATGAAATATGATCTTCATAGCAGTGTTGGTCAGGGGGTTACAGCTAATCGCAGTGCTGGCTTTCTTCCCCCCGTGGCCTGTATCTTAAAACTGCATGCCGAACAGTGTGTGAATCTGTTGTTTGAGCCATCCAGGATAGATTTAGACACCCCCGAGCTTGTAGCTTATTAGGTCCTCTTTGTCACAGTGCTTAATCCCACCGCCTGATTCTTGTTAGAACAGAGTGCTGTTGAGGCCCTCTAATAAAGGAGGTGGGTGTGAGCCTCCAAGCTAGACTCACTCAAGCATAAGGCACTTAGGGCAATTGCTGCCTGACTGACAGAGGGGCGAAATGCTTCCTTCGTGTTTTTATTTAAGAGGAGAACGGACCTTGAGACAACTGACGGAACAACAGAGCCAGGGTAAAGGCAACTTGTTGACAGGCCCATCTGAGGCGAACATCCCTCCTGGTTCCCCCTTCTTCCTTGTACATGTATAATGATCTGGCTTTTCTCTAATTATGCTAAACTTTTTTTCATAGTGGGCTTGTATTAAAGATTAAATGTTATGCAGAGCATGGAAAATAACATTGAGAGGCGGTCTAGTCCTGGAGAACTGCTCAGCTGCTGAATTATTTGCTCACATCATTATTTGGGTGTTGTAAATTGTTGACTGAGGGCTGAGCCTGAGGTTTTATGGGAGGTCAATGAGGGGATCACTGAGTGTGTGGGTATTAATGCTAATAAACCGAATGATGACCCAGCTTGGTTCTCACCTGCAGTGCCATGGAAAGGCATTTAACCCTCGCCCCAGTGCCATTTTCCATGTAGAAATTGCATGTGCCAAACCGCTGTTATCTGTAGTAGACGGGAAAGACCGTTACTCACAAGCTAATAGCAGCTGAAGGAAAACAGTTTATGGGGAGAAAGACTAAAAGCTTTTCCCAACCCTGTTCTACATCCGAATGCAAATTTTCTCTCTCTTGCAGCTTCTTTTTAACATTAAAAACAAATATGATCTGATATAGATCTCCCGTGCAATCTGTAGTTTGGTCCTGAATGCTGAGCTACTGCTCAGGCAGTAAGGCAGCTCTAGAGGTTCTCAGAATGCAACTCAAGGGAGCATCAGTGGCCCCCAGCTAGGGTTGCCATTCCCCAGTTGGGGATTGGACGTTCCTGGGTTTTTCAGGCTTCTGCCTGCCACCCGCCAGCTGGCTGTCAGGAGGAAATCCCCCCCAAAAAAAACAGCGACATCACTGGAAATAAATGCAACATGCCTATGTCACCTGGAAATGATGTAGGCATGTCAGTGACATTGGGGGGTGACGCTCTGGTTTTTGGGCAAAATATGGTTTGAGGCTTGAGTTTTGAGGCTTGAGTGTTGCCCAAAAACCAGAGCATTGCCCCTGATGTCACCGACATGCCTATGTCACTTCCGAGTGATGTGGGTACATCATGCGATGTCACTTCCTGCTCCCGAAATGTCCCCCCCCCATCCCGCCCGCCGGCATTTCTGACAGACCTGGCAACCCTACCTCCAGCTCTCTCTCAACATCCTTGCAACTGCTTACTTTGCTTTCCAAAGCCTCTGAAGCTCGGGATATACTATATTATGATTTGCATCCACTGGAAACAAAATCCCTGCAGTTTGCAAAAACATTTCTTCTGAATAAAGGTTTGAAACTTAATGTGGTAGGGTTTTTTGGGGGGGGGGCAAATAATGGCTCTTTTGGCCTCTTAGTGCTGTGTTCTAGTCTTGAGACATGTGCTTGACCTTCCCCCCCTTGTCCAGAGCACCAAGTATAGTGACAACACTGTTAGAACACATAAAAAGGCAGTGTATGTCAGAGTGCCTGACTAGGTCTGAGGAGATTGGGTTCAAATCTTCTCTGAGCCATAAAAATACTAGGTTACTTTGGACTTGCCTAACCTCCTTCACAGGGGAGTGGGTAACAGTGATAATAAACAATTACATTTAGACACTGATAGAGCCTTTTGGGGGGTGAAAGTACCGAAAGTTGTAGGGTGAACTTTGCAGCTGTATGGTAAGTCATCTTTGGGAGAGCAGTAAGGAGAAGGATAGTATGGTGGGAGGATGGGAGATATTGGAGTAGGATAGAAAAGCAGGGAATATCTTGAGGTAGAAAAAGTTATCTCATTCTATCAGAGTTGAATGTTGTATATTTTGTGGCCATGTGAAAATTGGAGGGGAACCCTAGAGCCAAGGCTAAGGGGGGCCATGGCCATGGATCAAGCTGAGCTGATGTAAAAGAAATTGTTTATCCCATCACCCATTGCCATGGCAATACAGGCCCAGCCCAGTCTGTCACAAGAGATTACTTCATAGGAGCATTAGCCCCCTTACCAGGCAGTATGAACTAATTCCCCATGAGAAACCATGAGGAGGAGGAGGGAGGTGATTAAGAAACAGTTAAAGGGCTAGAGGTAACCAGGCCAAAGAGAAGCTCGGCCTAGAGTGGAGGAGATGAAAAAGAAAGTGCTGTTAGCACCTTTTCCTGAGTGGAAAATCAACTGCTCACTATGAACTCCACATAGAACTATGAAGTTCTATGTGGATTTCATCCACCCCACCCTAACGGTTTTGATATTTCATTTTAAGTTTAGAATCTTGAGCCATCCCTGTTTTTGTATGTTTCCAACCAGTGGAGTAGGTGTTCTGTTGAACTCTTCTGTAATCTTTGTTCCTTTCTATGTTATCTAGGAAATAAACTGATTTGGTGCTGTAGGAAAGAAAAGAAGGTAGAAGGGCTTGGCCACAGGATGTTAATGTTGTAATTTTATGCATGCTTTCTTGGGAGAAATCATATTTAGGATCACACTTCAGTGAGTATTCTTCTCATACTTTCAGCATTTCACAAAAGTTTAAACTCCTGTTTAACCTTGCAGGTAATTTGGATTTGACTGGTCAAAAACAAGTCTTCAAAGCAGAGAATAATCCTTGGGTCACCCCTATTGCAGATCAGTTCCAGCTTGGCATTTCCCATGTATTTGAATATATTCGTTCAGAAACATACAAATAGTGAGTATTTTCTTTCTTTTTGTATGTATGTATGCTTTTTTCCTTTTCATTCTTGTTTATAATGAGGTTTTGAGAAAACACATTGGGACCTCCATTGGGCCAGTTTTCTCAGTTAATAACTCCCTCCTGATACGAGATGAAGTGCTGTTTTAATGAATTTTAATTCATTGTTTCCTGTATTTTAATTGGCTTTTACAATATTATCTCGTGCTTTTCCCTCCTGGCTCAAAGTAGCATAAAAATCATATTTTTAGAACATAATACTGTAAAACTTGGGTCACACTGTGGAAAAAACAACTGAGGGCCAGACCAGACTGGTACTGAGAGTCCTGGCTGTAGAGCCCCCAGAGATTTCTTAAAGGTTAATTCACTGGCAGGTGGGGACACAATTTGAGTTGGGACCATGCCACACAGGAAGGGGGAGCTTAAGCCTTTCCCCCTCTACAACAGGGCACATAGTGGCTCCCCAGGGTCATTTCTGGTCAGCAGAGCGGTGCAGGGAGGAAGACTTAAGCTGCCTATCCCCTCGTGCTGTGATCCCAATTTGAAGTGGGGGCCCTGCACAACTCAGAATTAACCTTTAAAAAATGACTAGAGACTTGAACATGGAACTTACCAGCTCATGTCTGGTTTGAATCTGAGCTAGTAAAGCTTCAGTTGCTGTTTACAGTGGAGGCAGGTCTTGGTGGTCAAGAGTCTTGTCTCTGGCTTGTTCCATCCAACAACCCTTTTGTGTTGTTCTATCTATTCCTTTTCTACATTCATCTGCAAGCAAAATTGAAATGGGGGAGCAATATACTGCTTAATGAAGTGGTGTATTTTCCATAAAAACCCACTCCTGTGTGCAAGATACCACTGAATGTCTGCTTGACAGTAAATCCACTTCAGTAAGGATCCTTCTTTTTGTTATTTTTCCTTTTTATTCTTTCGCTTTAAGTCTCATTAATCACTACCTGCATTTGAAGGACTTACTGGTTCTCTCCTAGTACTCATGAGATTCAGCATGGGACAATGGTTTGGAATGGCAGGCTAGGATCTAGGCAGGCTAGGATTCCAATCTCCACTCTGCCATGGAAACTTGCTGGGTGACCTAGGGTCAGTCACACCTCAGCCTAACCTACCTTACAGGGTTGATGTAAGGATAAAATGGAGGAGAGGAGGAGGATGTCAGCTGCTTTGGGTTCAAATTGGGAGAAAGACGGGGTATAAATGAAGAAAATAAAATAAGTAAATGAATCCAGCCAATTTACTTTGCTCCTTGGTCTCTGTTCCCTCCCCTTCTCAACTCCCTTGGCAGTGTCCCAGTCTTCTTCCCCTTTACCTCAAGTAGCGGTGGAAGTAGATGTAGCAATTTTTAGCCAAATATAGGTTGTTCTCATGTTTCCAGTAACCTCTGTGCAACTTACAAGAATAGAACATAAAGACAAAAATCTACTGTAAATAATTTTCTGAACAGCATAATTACAAACGGTGAAAAGGTATGTGACGAGCAAGCAGAATGCTCATAGAAAGACCGCTGGGCGGCTGCGGGCACAGATGCAAGGCAAGATATTCCCAACCCTGGCATGCTGTGAAACAAAGTGATTCTGGTACTTAATGCTGAGTGCTGCTTATTTCCGAGCAGCTTTGAGAAAAGAGATGGAGCAAGGACAAGCCAATGGAGCTGTCAAGAACTTCATATTTGGCTTCCAGCATTGTCTCTGATCCCAAGGAAGTATTCTCCTCCACCCACTATTAGGGATATTCTCATCAGTTAACACACAGGACTCCTGTTAATGCCCCATTTTTATCCCTAATGTTTTCTCTTTCCCCATTTCATTCTCACAACCACCACCCGGTGAGGTAGGTCAGGTGGAGGGTGAGTAACAAGCTCAAGATGAGATGAAATGAGTTTACATTGATCCTGGGTCTCCCAGATCTTAGTTCAGCACTCTAACCATTGCACCACACTGCTGAGTGAGAGGAAGCTGAAGCTTTACTATCTATTCAACTAAAGCCTTGTTTTAGGAGTGTATTTCCATTTATATTCCAAGCATTGGAATATACCAGGCATCTGACAAGTGAAATGATTTGTAGATGTAAAGCAGACTTGCAACTTGCCTTTGTTTTTTGTTTGGAGAAAATATTTGCCCGGCATGTTTCAAAATTAGCAAAGTGCATCACAGTTGTAGGTTGGGAGTGCCCTGGCCATGAAGATTTTATGCAAAGAAATGATAAATTGTTGAAATAAGCTACTGCCATGGGACTCATGATGCATTATCAATGAGGCCTTCAGTATTGACCAAATTAGCCACCCGTGGACTAGAGATGATGTGTCAGATTACAACTGCCATATCCTAGGAATTATGATGAAACCATAAAGAAATACCTGACTCCCATTTGACGAGATGCAAAAACCAATAATTTTTCATTGGAGCCAACCTTTTATCAGATAGAAGGACACTGTGGAAGCTATTTAAGTGGGCAAGTCTCAGAATGGGGTATTGGTTTGAACGATGGTCTTGCATGCTATATTCAGTGAAGGCCAAACAGCTCTCTCCAGGACTGACTGATTTCAAAATTCAGAACATCTGAATGCTTTTCCTGGCAACAAAAGTATGCTCAGAAGAAGACTAAACTACAACTTTCCATCCAGACTCACGTGCAGAGAATTTTTATGTGCGTCAGTGCTCTGACATCACCTCTCTGCATTCTGAGATGGTTTAGTCCCACCAAAATATATGAACTTCCTGATCTTCCTTATACAGAGTCAAATTGTCACTGTTGCTTACTGTGACTGGCAGTGGCTCTCCAGCATCTCAGGCAAAGATGGTCTTATCCTCAGCACCAGCTGAGATCTTTTAAATAGAGATGCCAGGTTTTAGCTAGACTCCAACTGCGTGCAAAGCACACTCGACCACTTCGTCACAGCCACTCTCCTGTGCCTCCTGGCATGTACTATACACTGTTTTACATAATGCTGGCTACTTAAATACATGGCGGGAGTGAGCACAAGTTCTGAAAGTTTGGATGCATTGCTGTGTTACACAATTAAATATGGGATGTCTTTGGACAATAGTGGCAGTTAAAATCTTATTCTATACTTGGCTGTTTCCGTGAGTGGTAGGGAATTCCAGGTCAATGAGGAGGGACCACACAAGGGACTTCTGTTGTGTGTTGAGTTGTAGAATCTGTTTGTTTGTACATGCAAGGGTGGAGCAGGGGGGAGGAAAGCCCGTGTCCTTGGCAGCACTGCAGCAGCTGAGCCCCACAAGCAATACAGCAGCATTACAGCTGCCAACTAGCTGCAGAAATTCAGAACTCTGTTTCTCTTCCTCTGGTCAGATTTTTTAAAAAAAACACAACCAAAGTATTTCTTTGTGCTCTCATCACTGTGTAGCTCCCCACCCTGGCATGAGGGCATGACCTGTATTCTAGGCTCATCAGCTGACTTATCAGTGCCCATTAAGTAATTGCATTTAGCCATCAAGATGTAGAGAAGCTTAGTGAGCTGGTATATCTCTTCTTCTTGAACCGTGTGGGTGTAGCAGTAAACCAGATGCCACACAGTACATTTGACATGGGATGGTTAAGGGTAACCAAGTTATCAAGTTTAGTTACTCTGTCCAAAGCTGTAAATACATACATAGTTCTTTCCTGCTCTTTTTTTGTTTAGGGCCATCCGGGGGGCTTCATACACACCACTCCAGTCCTAGTCTAATCATTGTTTGTTTATTTTACTTCATTTATGCCCAACCTTTCTCCCCAGTGGCAACCCAAAGCAGTTTACATTGTTCTTTCCATTGTATTCTCCCAACAGCCTTGCTGCCCCAAGGTCATCCAGAAATTGCTTGCCGGGGGGGGGGGTCCCTCTTCATTCCTGAGACTTAGAGTTTTCCCTCAAACGCTAGAGCATCCCCCGCACTACATGCCCTGCATGATAACATCACCTCCGGGTGATGTCATTGCGCCAAGCATGTTGGCACAGATGGGGCTTTTGGGGGTAAGGGTCCCCTACTGGCCGGCTAGGCAGCAGCAGATTGGGGCCCCTGAAAGCAGGTAAACTCCCACCCCCATCAGGGGAATGGCAACCATATAGCAATGACATTGGCTCTTTTCATACACACTACTTATGAAAATATCGAAAAATCCCAAGTTTGTTGTAGGCATTTGTTTGTTTACAAATATCTAATCTCCCAAGGGTGTGAGCCTGAACCCAACCATATAGGTGGAAACAGTATTTACAAATATCTAATCTCCCAAGGGTGTGGAAACAGTGCAGGAACAACTGTTAAAGCACCTGTTGCAATCAATTCACACCAGATATGTATAATACTCTCCTCAGTGACCAAGGGCCAAGTATCCTGTGGTTTCCCTGAATGTCATACTCCTTCCTGGAAAATGCACTAGAAGCCAAATTTGTTTAGCACCCCTGTTGATTTCACAGGATGTCCATTATATACGTAAATCTCTACAAAAGAACATCAAAACCAAAACTTTTTAATTAGTAATGTGGAACGGCAGCGTATTTTTTTCAGAGGCAATAACTTCTTATTTTTTGTTAGTGCCCCTAGTCAACCTTCAAAGTGACCTTTATGTTGTAAGTGTATTCTCTGAGGATCTTGTATGTCTAGGATAATGACAAAGACATGATGGATAGTATGATTTATTGACTATAATATACTCAGCAAGTACAGACAGGCATAAATGGTTAGAACAAAACAGCAAATAAAACTCCAGTGAATGATTGCAATCTTGAAATGTTATCAGAATTAGTGTAAGATAATTAGTGACTTGGTAAAAGCCCCAACGCGCAAAGAGTGGTGCGAGGGGCTGAGCTTAGCATTTGTAAGACAGGAGGCAGTTTCCCCAAGTACATTTTAAGCATTAATCATGTTTTCCTGATTGTTTCTCTGTGTGGAAATTGCTCTTTGTCCAGTCATTCTTTCTTCTGAAAGGCAAATTATTTTGGTGTTCTCATTTGTGATGCTGATTAAAGTTGCTACCTGATGATCTAATTT